TGAAAACCCGCAGGAAAAAGAAGCCATAATACATTTCCTCTGTGAATGCTCGGGTGTGACACGTCCAGAAGATAAAGGTTCTTAGGAAGATCCTTCTTTGATAGTTTATCAGACTGTTCATAGGTGAAGACGAAAGACCTATTAAATTATTTAAATTCTATTCTGCCTATTCTTCTATACTAGTGTTCTTGAGAGGAATATGGTAGCAAAACCGCGAAAAATCGCTAATTAACGTACATGGACGTTATCTAATGGCTTGCCACTGCACCCAACCAACCATCTTAGATCTAGTATGGTCATTTAAATAAGTAAAAATATGTAGTATTTTTCATTGGTTTCACTTATATATATTTTCATAGAAGCTTATCTGTTGTACAGAAGAGCTTTGCAATTTGTGTAGTATTATAAAACTTGCAAACAAACTCCATAAAGGATAAAAATCTAGCATTGCAGGAATTTTTTTCTAATAAAAGAAATTTATTTTTTGTTAGAAAAAAATAAAAAAAAAAGGTGAAGTATTTGAAATAATTGTGCTGCAATACTGGTCAAGTGAAACACAAATCAAATGCGAAAAAGTGGTTTTTTGGAAAGGTGAAATATAATAAAAAGCAAAGAATGAAACCAAAATCTGGCAATAAGCATGAAATCAATTAAATTGATATTTGTTTTCTCTTATTTTTCGGTTTGAAGGATTTAAAGGTTTGTGGTGGATGTATTTTTTGTTAAATTTCTATACCAAATTTATCTTTGATTTTTAATTGAAGAAGAAAAAAATTGGTTTTCACATGCTTCTACACAAGTAAATTAAAATTGTTTTTTAAAATGTTAAAAAAACAATATCAGAAAAAAAGTTCGAATGCCGTACGATTGATGTTAAGTTTCCGTACTATCAGTAAATCCAAATAACGAAAATATTTGTATTAATAAAATTTTTCAACTTCACCACACCGAAATGATGGAAAAATACTTTTTAAAAAAATTTTCAACAAATAAAAAAATTTATTTGCAGATTTGTAGTTCAAGAACACTCGCAGATATTTTAACTTAATAGAGAAAGTAGTTGATGTACGATTGATGTTAAGAGTTACGGTACTATCAGTAAATTCAATTAACAAAAATATTTGTATTAATACAATTTTTCAACTTCACCACATCGAAATGATAAAAAAATACTTTTTAAAAAAATTTTCAACAAATAAAAAAAATTTATTTGCAGATTTGTAGTTCAAGAACACTCGCAGATATTTTAACTTAATAGAGAAAGTAGGTGATGTACGATTGATGTTAAGAGTTTCGGTATTATCAGTAAATCCAAATAACGAAAATATTTGTATTAATAAAATTTTTCAACTTCACCACACCGAAATGATGAAAAAATACTTTTTAAAAAAATTTTCAACAAATAAAAAAAGTTTATTTGCAGATTTGTAGTTCAAGAACACTCGCAGATATTTTAATTTAATAGAGAAAGTATGTAGTTATTGAAGTCGAATGTAGTCAACCCTCAAGTAATGCTTATTTAAATAATTCCCTTTGAGCCAAATGAACTTCGAATGGAATCTAATCAAATTAGAGCACCAAATTTCTACTTATTTATTTCGCACAATATGCAGCAATGACATGCTTAACTATTAGCCAGCATTGCTAGCATTGCCAGCGTTGCCAGCATTACCAGCAGCAATGTATGCAGATGTATTAGTATGTACGAGTATATAATACGCAAAGCCAAATAGTAGATAACCTCTAAGCAGTACAATTCATTCGGAATTTTATGCTCATCACGTACGTTTCTCACTCGTAAGCAAAATACGTTTCGTGCGCTGTTTTTTTTATACTTTATAACACTTGTTTTTTTTTAAGCTGGCACTTCTCTACACAAATTTAATTTTTGTTTAGTGTCACTTTGTGGGGGCGTCAAAAAGTGTGGCAACCTAATAACAAAAATAGAAGTAAGAACCAAAAAAATAACAAAAACAAAAAAAAAAAAATTAGAAGAAACGGAAATCCATTGCCGAGCATAGTGAGTAGGTTAAGAATATACAAAATAGGAAAATTTGTAAATTTGGCTTATTCAGTGTTGCCATTTTGATATGCTGATTAAATTTGTTGGTGTCGTACGTGATGGGCGTTTGCATTAGCAAAATAAGTGTAAGCATACCAGATAAGTGGAGAATACTACGTTGCAAACACTTGTGCACTTATGGTTAGGGGAATTGAAATTTTAATTTTATTCTTACTTGTAATTACTTGGTAAATGAGCTTACTAATTAGCTTTGTTTTAAGAAATTTAGTTATAAAATTTGAATTTGCAAATGTTTTTTTGGAAAACTTTTAATTAATACGATGGTTGCTGTTGAAAAGTGTTGTTTGGAATAAGGGATTCTACATACAACACAAAGTTCTAGTTACGATATTCTTCATTGCAAAATACGATATGCAAATTTTTTATCACGTAGTTTAAAAAAACATTGTGAACTAGATTTATTTTTAAGAATAATTCAAAAATATTGAACTTAATCTGCAAAAATGATGTAGTGACATAACAATAAATATTATTAATGATATGATATGATGATATATATGAGATGATATAATATTATATTGAAATGCCGGAACTATTTCCAGTACATTAAGAGTACTCATCTAAGCATACAAATGTATGATTTAACGCACTTAGTGAAATATTTGTGTAAATTTATCAATCTGCTGTATAATAGCACTATTTATATCAGCAATAATTATGGCAGCACAAAATGTACTGCTTAACAGCGTAATTTTAAACCTTATTAATATAGTTCTAGAAATTTAAAAAGAAGCATTTATCTTATGAAACATTCTTGATGCGATAATAGTGAATAGACATATGACATGTATTTTGGGTATAAAAGACATTGTCGGCTGGGTTCAGGATTGTTAATAGATTGTTAAAGCCTGAAGTGACCTTCTAATGCTAAATCGAAATCTACATTAAAATAGGAAATCTAACATCTATAAAAATTATGCGAAGAAGAGTATCTACAACATTTTATGGGAGGCTGTTTCGTTCTGAAGGGCTATCAATATAAACATTTTGGAGAACCACACTATGTGAATCTGAGTTGATTAATGTATTTGTGGTGAAAGTGATTATGTACAGTTATTTTTTTTTTTAAGAAATTTAATAATACTTAATAACGAATATATCGCCATGAAAACTATGTCGTATTCGTTTCTGAAATATGGAAATACAACTATTGTTTTAATTACTCTTCAACTTTAAACTAAGACTAAGCTTTAATATGCAATTTTAGTTTTAAAAACATGCGAGTGAGGAATAACTTAGTCAAAAAATAAATTTATCTAAATTTGTATCTATATCTATACATTAGAAGTTGATTTTTTGAAAAGTTTTTCCAGCACTTTTGCAGAAAATGTGATCGTTCTTATTATTTTATATTTTGTCTTTATGCTTATAACATAGGTATCAATATATTATTCTCTTATGAACATAACTTCTTAAAGAATCAATCACGTCCATATACTAGTAATCGTTATGTGGAATTAGAGCACTGAAAAAACATTTGATTTTTGTTCCCTAAAAATTTTTTTAAATTAAATGCTTTTGAGATACTTTTGGTTTTTTTTTTGGCTGCATTCTTTTTGGTTTTTAAGATACTTTTGTAGTTTTTTGACTGCGATATTTTTGAGTAGAGTTCTTTTACACACTTTGTTTCTCGATAATTATGGAAACAATCGACTTACTTCTGTGTTTCGGAACACGAAATCATTTATCCGATTTATAAGCAATAAGTAGGAAGCCCCTGTATATTTAAAAGTATAAATAATTAAATCATTCTTAATTATGAAATAAAATAAAAAAGTATTTACTTGTTTTGCACTGAATTAAATTCTTTGAATTTTCAAACAGAGCAGATATCGTTGAATTCTTTATAAGTAACAAATCGTAAACTCTTTACTCATTAAACTAAAGGCTTTAAAATTAATAAATTAATTATAAATAAAATATTTATAATTCATTTAATGTTGGCCCAGACAAATAAAAGACTCAAGAAGCGATAATCTGAGAGAAATTGCCCCATGATTAAATTCTTTTAATAATCAAGCAGAGCAAATATCGTTAAATTCTTTATAATTAATAATTCGTAACCACTTCACTCGTAAAACTAAAGTCTTAAAAATTAATAAATTAATTACAAATAAAATATTTATAATTCATTTAATGTTGGCCCAGACAAATAAAAGACTCAAGAAGCGATAATCTGAGAGAAATTGCCCCATGATTAAATTCTTTTAATGATCAAGCAGAGCAAATATCGTTAAATTCTTTATAATTAATAATTCGTAACTACTTCACTCGTAAAACTAAAGGCTTAAAAATTAATAAATTTATTACAAATAAAATATTTATAATTCATTTAATGTTGGCCCAGACAAATAAAAGACTCAAGAAGCGATAATCTGAGAGAAATTGCCCCATGATTAAATTCTTTTAATAATCAAGCAGAGCAAATATCGTTAAATTCTTTATAATTAATAATTCGTAACTACTTCACTCGTAAAACTAAAGGCTTAAAAATTAATAAATTTATTATAATTAAAATATTTATAATTCATTTAGTTGTGACCCAGACAAATAAAAGACTCAAGAAGCGATAATCTGAGAGAAATTTCCCCATGATTAAATTCTTTTAATGATCAAGCAGAGCAGATATCGTTAAATTCTTTATAATTAATAATTCGTAACCACTTCACTCGTAAAACTAAAGTCTTAAAAATTAATAAATTAATTACAAATAAAATATTTATAATTCATTTAGTTGTGACCCAGACAAATAAAAAACTCAAGAAGCGATAATCTGAGAGAAATTGTCGCATGATTTATGTGTGTATATAAATTATTTAATACAATATCTACACAAAATAATTCAAAGTCTTTAAGAGTTTATAGTTCGAATAAAGCGATAAAGCAATAAAAATCGTAATAATGAATTATGATAATCACTTAATAATTGTGAGCAATTAAAATCACATTCAGAAGAAAAACGATTTTATTTGGCACATTTCTGGGATTACAGTCTCGAAAAAACTCGACGGACGGAAGTACATAAAATCTTTTGCTTCTGAGGTTTCAATTAAATTAAATTGCCTGTAAAAATAAGAATGAGTAAAGAAAAAATTGGTATTGTGGGCAGGTAAGAAATCGGTAAATAAATATTAAATATAACTTTAAAGAAATAAATTTAATATGAATTTAAAAAAAACGTACAATAGAAAACGTTTTTATTTTGAACTAAAATAAAAATGTTATTTAATTTTTTTTTTTTTTGCCTGCAGTGGCCTTATTGGACGCGCTTGGTCTATGCTATTTGCTTCTGTGGGATATCAAGTTGTGCTGTACGATATATTGCCAGAGCAAATTAGTGCTGCTTTGCAGGAAATCGAGCAAGAATTGCATAAACTAGCTAGGAATGGCACATTGCGTGGTACACTGACTGCACAGCAACAATTCAAGTGCATTTCCGCAACAACTGACATCAAAGCTTTGGTGCGCAATGCAATGTTTATACAAGAATGCATACCTGAACGTATCGATTGGAAAAAGTCCTTGTATCAACAACTGGACGCAGTAGTTGAAGCGCATACAATAATTTCCAGTTCGACGAGTACATTTATGCCATCGCTATTTAGTTCTGACATGAAACATAAGGAAAATGTAACTAACCATTTTACTATTATTATTGTTTTTGTTGTTGCATAAACTATTTTCAAAACTAATATTTATAAATATTTCATATGTATTAAAAGGTAGTTGTTTCACATCCACTAAATCCACCCTACTATATACCATTGGTGGAAATAGTACCGGCACCATGGACTAAAGCAGAGGTTGTTGCAAGAACACGTTCACTTATGCTTGAGATTGGACAACGCCCTGTAACGCTAACACGTGAGATACAGGGGTTTGCTACCAATCGTATACAATACGCCATTCTAAACGAGGTTTGGCATTTGGTTGAGGATGGTGTATTGACAGTGGCTGATGTGGATAGTGTTATGACGCATGGTTTGGGTTTACGATATGCATTGTTGGGTCCATTAGAGACTGCACATTTGAATGCAGATGGTGTGTCTGATTACTTTCAACGTTTTGGCAAAGAAATATATGCTGTTAGTCAAACTTACGCACCGACACCAAAAATTGAGGATGGTCCTACTTTGCAGAGAATAGCACAACAGTGTGAAGAAATGGTGCCACATGATAAACTGGCGGAGAGAAGAGTACAACGTGATCAATTCTTAAAAGAATTAAATGAGTTGAAAAAACAATTCTAAGTAACTAAAAGGAATTTATAAAAATAAGTATGTATGTTCATAGTATCTGATTTATTTATAAAAATAGACAATGTTATATACATATCTGAAATTTGTAGTTATTACTAATATTTTTATCTAAGAATACTTGGAATTGTTTTGAGGAAACTTTGCTTTGACTACCCAAGTATAATGTGGATCATTTAATGTGTGCAAAAAGTTCTAACCGAAGTTGATAGACTTGATGTCAATAATAATACGTATTATGAAGCAATGAAGGTCTGAAATAAAAGGCAAATTGGGGAAATATGTTCTTTATATATAAACGTTTTATATATACATACATATATAGAAATAGTGTTTATGTGTTAAGCTGTGTATTGATATGTTTCATACATTGTATATAACTAAATAAGCTACTTGCATTAACAAAATATGTAGTTATGCGAACGGAAGCCACTCCAGCTTTAACTCAATAACAACATCCGAGAATCGAAGGACGAAAAAGGACTCAAGTCGTTTCGTGGTCTACTTCGACTAATCCTTCACTTCAGTGGGGCCACTTGTTGGACAGTGCGCTGTCCCAACGTCCCGCCATATATATACATTGTATATAAACCTGAACCTGACAAGTTGCTTGTTTTTAAAATTGGTAATTATTAAGTATGGATAATTACATGCTGACTGGCAATTCTAGATAATTCTTAACATTTTTATTAAAGGTCAATATTAAAATAGATCTATTGCGCATAGTGTTACTTTTTAACTTTATATATTTTGGGGTTTTATCAAATAGAACGCAGAGTAAAATTCGTTGTTTCAGAGTATGCATTAATCCTCAACAACGCTAACAAAGTGAAGAAGTATTTGTTTACCAAGAGCAGAGCATTCACAGAAAAGGTACTTTGATCTTTCATTGTTGATGTTTCAAGGCCAACAGATATCGGTATTAAAAAGGCACAAAGTCCGTAAGTTGATACCTCAGTAAGTTGATACCTCACTAAGTTGATACTTCAGTATGACATGTTAGTTAGTAACTAATTAACTCACTCTCCACATATATATAATCACTCACTATATAATTCAAACTCTCTCATATATATGTATGTATATATATATAATCTTACATCTATATCTATATTAATATTTTTTTTTCTTCTATGGTACAACGAATGCTTTTGAACATTTGAATATTAAACGCGGTATTATCAATTTTCTTTTGACGTCGCGTAGAAACTGCCGTGATTTTATAGTAACCTATAAGTCCACTCTGCTTAGCGCAAGTTTATTAGTTTATTAGCTTTTGGTAGTTTATTCAAGATACTCTTTGCTGATATAAAAGAATCTATAAGTGAACGAGAGAAATTAAATCTACTTGAGTGCAAACAGACATGCGGCAGTCAAGAAGATTTATTGATCCTAAACACATCAAAGTTGACGCTATCTTTAACCTTAATAGAAACGATATTAAACTCTACAGTGAACTACTTACAGGACTTCTTTAAACTCGTTTATCATATGAAGAATATAGGTGTGGTAAAAAGTAAATCCTTTCGACTCCGTTATGGGGGAAAGTTCATAGCCCACAGCAATTACGAGATTTATAAATAGGCTAGAATTGTTTTAGCTGAACTTTTAGCTGAACAATAGATCTCTTAGGCCGTAGTGCATTCATAGCCTATTGTTTAATAAAAATAAAACTGCAGCAATACGATTTCCTAAATGGCTATGAACTAACTATAATTACTTCTGAAAAATGAATGGAAGTAATTACGATAGTAAGGCATACTCAATAATAAATATAATTTTTGTTTAGTATAATCTTTTACTTTAAAATTACTTTCCAAAATGTGACTTTAAATTTTTGGATTTCTTCAATATTCGTTGTCTAATTTAAGCTCCCCAAAAATCACGTCATACTCGACTTGAGTATTCTTGAAGAGGAAAAAGAAAACAAATCCTTTGAAAAGGTTTTTCATTTCACATTTCTCATCTTATTTGGTTTGGGTACTTTCCTTGCAAAGCTTTTCTACTTCTCTTTCAAAATGTTGAAAAGTAGAAAAATGTCTACAGACGACATTAATGAAATTAATTTCTGTGGTAACCGGAAACGGTTAAATAAACTTCATCGTGTCGCATTTCCGCTTGTTTGTGCATTGCGCCTCCGTTTGACAAATGGTCTGAAGCATTTGTTTTCAGTGCTGACTGGTTTTTCCTAACATTGACTCTCTAAAATGAAAAATGAAACTTTAATAATGAATAAGAAATTCTTGTGCCGTTTTTTTCCTAAAAGCTTAATTTATTTTCGCCTCACTGATATGACTTGTAAAAAAGTATCTCGCAAAAGAATACATTTATACACCGTAATAAATTAAAAATGAATATCAAAAAAAACAAAAAAAAAAAACAATAAAAATTTATTAAAAAAATTTGAGAAAAGACTTAGGATTCCTTTGCAGAATTTCTTATATTCAGTTCATCTACTTAAGCAACTGTGACTGGAATGTTAACACAGAGAGAGAGTGAGATATATTCCAAGACAAAAAGTAGAAAAAAAATACTTATTCATATTGAAGCAAATAAATATAAAAAGAATATCTTAAATGCTTTGAACGACAAATCCTTTTTCGACAATTTATTCAAAAAAAATTTAATTTTTGAAATTGAAAAAAATGTTCAAAAGAACTTCATTATCCTTAGACTGAAATGCATACAATACTAAATTTGCTGAGTAATTTTCAATTTAACATTGAAAACGTATGCGCGGATTTTAATGAACTTTTCGTGGTTTCCCATTGTTCCAAACAGACGCGCCGCAGGACATTTTATTTAATTTCCATATCCCATGCGTGTGTATGTGCACTGCCAAGTGGAAATCATACAAAAAATTACCAGACAATAGTAGTAGAAGTTCGTATTATTACTACTATTATGGATGCACTTACTTTTTCTATTTTTTTGTAATTAATTCTGATGATAATTTAAACAATGAATCCATGGTTAGTTTGTGGCAGGCTGCGTAATCATTGCATTTCCAATTTGACAGTGAAAATGGAATAATTGGGATTGAATGATGACTGACAATGCAATATGGCAAAACATTTTCATATGTAAATTACATATGGAGTCCATTGAGTTATAATTTCTTCATATGCACTTTTTCCAGTTAATCCGATAAAGTTTTTTTAGAAGCTGATGTCGTTCTCCTCTTATATTCACTTTTGTGATATACTTACTAAGCAGTTATGGTTGTGAAATATAATGTACACATTGTCATTATTTTACTATTTTTAATATAACTTATTTTTTTAATTAGAAAATTCAAATAATTCCATTACACTTTATAAAAAACTTACAATAAAAGAATAGTAAATTGATTTTTAAATTTTTTGAGACTGCATGTACCAAGGGTTGAACTCGTGCCCTGCCAAATTTGAAGCTCAAAGTCAGTGTTTATTAGCCAACAGAACCAAAAGCATACTTGGCTTGTATGTTTCAACTAAGAGTTAATTAATAAATAATAAAATTTTATGGTTATAATTTACTGCTGTTCAAAATAACTCTCTTAAAGAATATTCCTTTATGATATTGTATGAATATAAGACACCTTAATAACTCTTTCTCTTAACTAAACCATATAAAAAAGTGTCCAATTCTCCAGTAATAACTTCTCTAAAGCACAATATAAAAATTTATCTATGCAAGTATATCAAAATTGAATAAAATAATTAAATTAAAATAATTTATAAATAATATAATATAAAATAAATAAATTATATAAAAAATTTAATAGTTAAATTTTGTAACTTCTACAGAAAAACTGCAATCTCTTCGAAATACTTTTTAGAAAACTAATTGAATGCTGCCAAATGAGAGCTCATATCTTTATGGATGATTTGAAAATACAATGTGGAATAGAAAGTAGATATATTTTTAGATAAATCAGGACTTTCTTTCACATTAGATGCTGAAATGTTTTCTATTAAATATGTAGGTTGATTGATTCATTAAAGGAATGTATTAAATCAACAGATTGCAATCCCTTTTGATAGCAGAGGCATTATTCGTACTTTGTCTACCATAGTACAAAATCAAAGGTAGTTAATTACAGTAAAATTGAACTAAATTTATTGAATATTGAGAACACAATAACATAGATTTGGGTTTTAGGATTAGTTTAGGTTTGGTTTAGGTTGTAGTACCACGGGATTTTAGGGCATTGCAGAATAAAATACAATAAAATTGATAATAAACTAAACTACAATCACAAACCTAATTATTCATATTAATGAAACCTAGTAATTGCATTAATAGATGGTCAAAAACTTAAGCAAATTTATTATCTTTGTAATCTATTTTTTAAGCTATAATTTTTAGAATGAAAAGTCCTACTGTGGCAGGGCCAAAAAATTATATATAAACTTTAACCAGAAATGTAGAAGCATAGGACAAAAAAAATAAAAAGAAAATCAACAACTAAATACTTGGACATATTTATTATATAGACCGCCTTTTGCTATTCTTATAGTTTTATAAGGTTACTTGAAACCGTTTTCGAAACTGCCTTGTCACCACGACCCTACTGCCTAAGTAAAAACTTTAGAATTTCAGCGATCCTGCAGTTTGTATGCTAATTAGAATACTAACAGCATACTGTGAAATTACACCAATGTTTCAACAGATTGGATGTATTTTTCATCGAATATGTGTTTGCATATGGTACGGGTGACTTTATACATTGTGACCGAAAGGTTTCCGGAAATTTTTAAATAAAACGCAAAATTCTTAATCTTCATCAATATTTATTTTATCTCCTTCAAAATATGCTCCATTAGAAGCGATACACAAATGCAAACGTTTCTTCCAATCATCAAAACATTTTTTATAGGCGCTTTCCGGTATGGCTTTGAGTTCCCTCTGCGAATTCTGTTTTACGTCTTCTATGGATTCAAAACGCGTTCCTCTGAGTGGTAATTTGAGGTTGGGAAACAGGAAAAAGTCACACGGTGCAAGATCAGGTGAATACGGTGGCTGTTCGATGGTATTTATTGAATGTTTGGCCTTAAAATCGTTGATAATG